AAAAAAAAAAGAGAAAGAAATATAAATATCACAGAGAAAAGTAGTCGTAGAAAACAACAGTATAGGTTTGTTAAAAGAAATACTATCTGGTTTAATGCTAAGTCTGTGTAAGAGATGAATTCATGATTTAAATTTTATGAGTTTAATATTGAAGTCGTTGTATTTGCAACTCTATTGGTTTAGAGCTCAGAGATATTATTTGTTGTAATTTTAGTAAATTTTATATATAAATTATATTCCGTGTTAAAAGTACTAAGTTTAAATAAATTTGGTGTCTCCTTGCTACATCCGCGATAGACTGATGGGAGATATAATTTTCTACTCTTTATAAGTTTTTCTTTAATTTTATAATTTTTTAAGATCTTTATTTTTACACGAGAAAAAAATAAACTAATGTTGGTCAAAATTCGGCTCTCCTTTTTCCAGCTTTTGGTTTGTTGGAATTGTATGACAAAATTTTCTTATATAGCTTCGTTAGTTTAACAATTTAGATAATAATGTACCCAAAAAATTAGATAATAAATCTAGGCAAAGAATAAAATTTGTCTATGAAATCTTGGGAGTAAAATGTTAATATGATTATTAATTATTTGGTGTTTAAATTTTTATATTATAGGAATTAGACTGCGTGTCACTGTTTTTCTAAAATTTCTGGTAAGAATTATATTATGCATGTTATTGTTATTGATATTTAATTTATGACAGTTAAACTTGTAAAATCATGATAAAACCTTTATATAATCAAATCTCTTTACTACTAATGCAATTCAATAACATACTCAGACGTTTTTGGTATGGAAAAAACAAATTCCTCAAAAATGAAAAAAATTGATTGCTTTAATAAAAATAAGAAAAATAAATTTTATAAATGACACTCCAAGTTAATTGTCTACTTCCTTCCCACTCAACGTCCCCAATACCCATTTCATAACCATCCCCAACCCTGCCATCTTCAAACTTCCACTCCCTATCCCACCAAATATATTTTGTATTTATTTACTAAACACTAAAAAATAAATAAAAACCTTACTTATTTTCCACGAAAATAGTTTTTTGGTACCAAAAACACCCACAATCCTATGGTAATTATCCTAGCAATGGGCATAAAGAAATAAGTTATGCTAATAAATAAGTATGTTAAACAAGGAAATCAATGGTGTCGTGGTGTAGTTGGTTATTGTGTTGGTTATCACGCGTCAGTCTAACACACTGAAGGTCTCCGGTTCGAGTCCGGGCGACGCCAAATCTTTTTCTTTGCTCATTTACTTTTTTATTATCCTAATAATTTTTTTCTTAAAAAAAACAAAACAAAACAAAAAGAACAGCCTAAGAGAATTGGCATTTACATGAAATTAATTGCTTCAAGTGCCCCTCCAAAAAGGCAAAAGAATTTCGTCTTTGAATATGAGATTGTCGAACCTGGAACACGGCATGCCTCATTAATCTAATAACATATCCAGTGTGTCTAATCCCACAAGTAGGGTCCAAGAAGGATAGGATGTACAGAGATCTTATTTCTATTTTTAGTATGATAGAAAAATTATTTCCGATAAACTCTCGACTCGAAAAAGAAAAAAGAATTCGAAGCATGGAAGCAGAAAGATATGACACCAAAATAACAAGATGCAAGCGAAATGAATAATTTACTTGCTTTTAGTTCTGTTAAAGGCTATGTTGCCTCATGCTTGGACTCTTTAAAAATTACTTGCTTTCTAATTCTCAAGAAGTAACGCATTTTTTGATGATTCAACTCATGCGGCATCAGTTTTGGAGAATCCAAGCAACATAGGTTAAAGGAGAAAAAGAATAAAAGGAATGGCAATCAAGATGTGTATTTGCATATGTAAATATATCATTACATGATATTTCTGATGGATGGCAACATAAAAGGCTAACTACACCAGAACTTGATAAAATCACGATCAAATGAATAGATTATGCAGCTGAATACAACAAAAAAAAAAATGGTACACGACTGAAGACAATCTCCAATTAACAGGACCAAAAACGCAGAAAAATAGTACTATAGAACTATTGTCATTAAAAATCAAAATGTAAGCTAAAAGTTGTAACCTCAAAGAATAATGGTCCTCAGAACAGTGTGGTTCTGTTACCTGCAATCCTTTTTTCTTTTACATGAGAGGCAATTGATCCATCCTGTTTGTAATGGTAAAAATACATCAAATAATTTTAGACGATCTCCTTCCATAAAGTAAATTGGACGATATCGATTTTGGAAGGGAAAAGAATTACATAGAAGTTGCGACATCTGCTCCTCTTAGAGAAAACCTCCATCAGTCCATTTGGACTCTGATTTTCCACCATGACCAACATGTTTATTATTGGATGCACTTTGGGAATTATCAAATCCATCATCCTTACTATCATCCCAACCAGCCCAGCCATCATCATTACTGGATGTGGCTCCTCTGGTAGAATTTTCTTTCCTGTTGTCTTTACTATCCCCCCAATCATCCCAGGACGCCGAGCTGACAGAGTTGGAATGCCTACCAGATGATTGCGCTCCTCCAGAAGAATTCCATCCTTTAGACGCCTGAGTGGATTCCTTATAATAGCCATTTCGTTCAGTTTCACTCTGCTGCCAGCTATTGTCCCTCGAGTTTGGACCCTCAGCAAATTCCTCAACCTTCTGTGAAGCTAAAGCTAAGACCCCCTTCATGATACCCCAGCCCTTCTGTCCAATCTCAGTTGTTTTTGTTGCAACAACATTGACTGTTTCATTCACCTTGTAATCATAACCACCCTCTGCCACCTGTAAGATTCAGATTACACAAGCATCTTACTGAACATTCAAAAATCCCTGCCTCTTTGTCCAAAAACTAGAAACAGTATAGTTGAGAATAAAGGCTATATGACCAAAAACTTAAATGAAGACTGGAAAAATACACATCTACCAGAACTTTGAAAGAAAGAGAGGATGACTCCTGCTCGACTAAAATATACACAAACAGTAAATTGAATATTATGCTTTTGATAGAAATTCTCATCCCTATGAACATTGAATAATCACTATGGACTCTTAAGTCATTGGAGAAGGATCAAATACAAACTAACCTGGAATTTTAGCAGATGACAACTCCAACTCAGAATATAAAATAATAGAAGCATATTTCACAACCTTTCTTCCTATGAAACCAAGTTCCATTAACTCTTAAGTCACAAATTTCAGTTTCAATTAATACAATTCAACTGTACTGTCTTCTTTCTCATTGCAAGATAAGGGGCAAAAGACTAATTATACAGATGCTCACTTTTCATATAGAGTAACTCCCAAGATGAGAATTTCTACCATTAAGGATTATAACTAGAGAGGTGGAGAAAGACTCATAATATTGTGGAGGGAAATATTGGTTATGATATAGTGCAATAAAAATGTTGCTTTTTTTCTGTGCTTTCCCTAAGGGCCATTATAGTGAAAGACTATCTTGAATGAACTTCCCTAGTGGCACTCCCTAGGGCGAATCCACTTAGCTAATTAAACTAATACTTACTAGGCTAAGCATTTCCAAAACTCTCTCATCTTAATCAAGATAGTCAAAGTTCAAAGTATGACATATGCATAGATTATTATTGTTTATTAGACCGAATAGGTCCATTATTGTTTATTAGACCGAATAGGTCCATTTCTAATCGAAGACACTATAACATCTTATAAATTTTGTACGGTCTTAGGGTGTCTCAACAGGTTAAAATTACAATTTAAAAAAAAATTGAGAAGATATCAAATAGCTATTAACCCAAAATTTCTCAATTTCTAATCGAAGACACCAAAACATCTTACAAATTTTGTATGGTCTTAGGGTGTCTCAAGAGGTTAAAACTACAATTTTGTAAAAAAATTGAGAAGATATCACATAGCTATTAACCCAAAATTTCTCAGGCTTAGTACATGTAAGGTTTACACTCTTAACACATTTTAAAGTGTCCTCTTTGAAAGTCAGTAAAGCTCACAAAACCAATGTAAAACAGCATGAGCATGTTTTACTCAATCTATCTAATTTCCTTCTAATAGTTATCCAAATTCCGTCTGATCTCATGGAAACTAAACTAATAGGTTAAAAGTTTTAAGAAGAGCATCAACCAATTCTCCTATTTACAAACCAAATTTTGAATTGAATCAGAGCATTATGTGGTCCGGCCTTGTGCAGGTCCATATGAAAGGGTTACTAAAATATCAGGAATCGATTCTATAAGATCCCACATAAAATAGATATATAAGGCTATCTATATATGGAAGTGTAATACCTGTTGCAATAATATATCATACTGGAACTTAGGACTTCAGTCTTAGTGCAACATGTCTTGAACTTTTAGTTGAAGAGAATTTTACATGCAATATCCTTCAAGACTTACACTGATTATCCAACATCAACACTTGATCCAAAAAAGATACCTAATCTCAACTTTCAGATCTCTTGATCCACGAAGCATCCCGTGTTAACATAAGATGCATGTCAAGCATATAAGTTTGATACGTCAGAAGACTTAGATCGGTACAGTCACAAAACAGACAAATTGTTCAATACAAGATTAAGTTACAAAATAATGGTCGACCAAAGAATATTCCAAAATTACAAGCGTACGCGTGAGTGGGAATCATGTAGAATTCCCAACCCCTTAACAAAAAGATATATGTTGATGATAATGCAGTTGTGATTGTAAATAGTTTCAAAAATTAAACTTCAAATGGCCATCCATTACTTTCCTGTGGTTCATCTCCTGCATTAATAATACATTTATCGCAACGCATAATGCTCTGTGGCACATTACTTAGGACTTGGCATTTTCCAAAACAAAGTGAAGTTTGTAATGCAATTTGCCAATTCATTTTTCCAGCCCTTCAAGACTCCCTTTTTCTGAATTTTATCTTCTTCTTCCTCATTTATTACATTTCTCCAAGATACCCATGAAACCTACATGCTGCAAACCCTAGCACTCATACATCAGAACCCCAATATTTAATTAAATAAAGAAATTCCTCTCTACCTCCTAATAAATAACCTAGATTTAATTTTTCAAGATTTAACATGGATTGCAGAATACTTGTAGATCCTAAGTTTGGATAAAGCGAGACTTCCTTCTACATTTTAAGACAAAAAGACATGCAGCGAGGAAAACTTATTAACCAAGAAGGCATCTCCACAAAATTATAAGATTAATAGACCTTCAATTTAATATAACAATCAATCCAAAGTACCTTAGAGCCCAACTCCTTGGTCCCTGCTTGAACAACAGTTGCAGCAGACTGTGCCGCTGAGGCTGCTATCATAGATAACCTACCGAATCCCTGCACATGTAAAGCAGCAACCTCATCAGCTATATGTAAATGAGTTTTGACTCTTATATACTAAACAGTGTCAATTTTTACGGTATCAGCTCATTTATAAACCAATGACAGATAATTGCCTATATTAAGCATGACCGGATAACCAAGAAAATAAGATAAGTAACATGCTAAACAGGTGAAACTATACTGATACTGCAAACAAAAATTACTTTTAAAAGTTACATTCTACACAGATAAGCTCAATTAGCTCAATCTTTATACCTGGGTAACAGCAGAAAAAACATCGCCTTGCGAATTATTATTATTATTCCTAGGCACTGGGGCAGGACTTGACCCAAATCCAACATACTTCCCTCCTTGAGAGGGCGGAAGGCCCTCTGGCCGGGACTCATTCTCAGCCATTTTCCTAGCAAAAAAATTATCCTTATTTGCCGCCGACGCCTCGTACTGCCCCCGCGTAACATCATCGGTAGACCTCGACCTAGAAGGCCCACCACCACTACCTTCACCACTCCTAAAATCACTCACCGTCAGATTTCTCCTCAGATTACTATAACTATTTCCACCATTAGTTCCTCCATCATCAAAATTATCCCAATTATCCCAACCAGAATTGCCACCTGAATTTCCACTTCTACTACCACTCAACGGGGGTCTACTGCTGCTATTGGGACCCTTCACAGCTTCCTTCACAACAGGTGGATCCCGCCAGGGTTTTCCCTCGGCGAGGTTATGAATCCTATCACGGTAAACAGAAGCGGCTTTCGTATTGTATTTGGTGACAATATCAGTTTCTTTTGGGATTCCATATTGGCTCATGAATTTGTTCAACGTGTCATTGCCGCCAAGCTCCATTTTCCGGAGCTGGATCTCGGACCACGAGTCCATGGTAACGGATCGGACGAAGGAAATGTGAACACCTAACCCACGGTGTT